TTTTATAATTTTCAAAATTGAGAAATGTCAAAATTCTCTTTTAAATTCTGAGCTTTTTTTTTTTTTTTTCTTTTTTTCCATTTTTAAGAAGATTTCCTAGGCTCCCTCTTTCAATTCTTTATTTCTCTCATTGGTCACTTTATCACCACTTACAAACCCAACAAGTATTTACTGAGAACCTACCATATGCTAGGCGCCTGTTCCAGGCCCTGAAGAGACAGCAATGGACAAAACAGACAGAACTCCCTGCCCTCAAGGAATTTACATTCCAGTGGCACGAGGCAGACCATAAACATAAGACAGTCGACAGAGGAAGTGCTGTGGAGAACCTTAAAGCAGAACAGGGGACTAGGGAGGCCACAGTGGGAGTACATCTTTCTCTAAGGGGGTCACGAGAAAAGGACCTTTGAACAGAACCTTGAAGGAGACAATGGAGGGAGTACTGGGGGTTTACCTGGAAGAAGAGTGTGGGAACAGCAAGTGCGAAGGCTCTGAGGAGGGAACGTGTCTGGCAAGTTGTTGTTGTCTGATGCTGTCGATTCCAACTCCTAGCGACCCTGTGTGACAGAGTAGAACTGCCCCACAGGGTTTTCTAGGCTGTAATCTTTACGGAAAGATATCACCAGATCTTCTTCCCGAAGAGTGGTGGGTGGGTTCCAACCTCCAACCTTTGGGTTAGCAGCCTGGCGCTTAGCTGTTGCGCAGTCTGGGCTCCTTTTCCGGCAAGTTAAGGAACAGCAAAGAGACCACTGTGGCTGGTGGGGGAGGGAGTGGAAGAGAGAAGTCAGAGAGGTTCCTGGGAGCCTTTCAGGTCTTGTTAGGACCTGGGCTTTTATTGAGATGTAGAACCATCCAACAGTTGTAGAACCATCAAACAATGAGGTGATACGGCCTGTGCTGTGACGAAGTATTGTCACATATTTTAAGAGGGTTTATGGTCGATATCGGAGCCCTGGTGGTGCAGTGGTTAAGAGCTTGGCTGCTAATAAAAAGGTTGGCAGTTTGAATCCACCAGCCGTCCCTTGGAGACCCTCTAGGGCAGTTCTCCTCTGTCCTGTAGGGTCTCTGTGAGTCGGAACCCAATCAGCAGCAACGGGTTTGGTTTTGGGGTTTTTTATGACTGATATCATTAACGACAAAATAGCCTTTCTTCCAGCTCTTCTTGCTGTATTTTCTGTTCAATCAGTTAGGAGTATGAGCTAGATATAAATGATGCGGGGTTTTCTCTTCTCTCCCTTCCCCTCTCCCAATCTGTTGTTTAGATGCCAAGACCATTATTATTATTCATGTGACCGTGAAGCTTAAAGGAATAGACTCGATGATCGATCCAGTCCCTAAAAGTGTATCAAAACGTTTCCTTCATTTTTCCCTTAGAGTAGTAGTAATTGGTCTTCATTCAGGCTAATAAGTCCAGGGAGTATGAAGTGTTATTCCATCAGGTAGAATTGTTCCTATTAGTGGCCTGGAAGGAGCTTTCTGTGTGATTTGTCTGTTTTTTATGTTGTCTCTGTATCTTTACTTATCACCTGATATCTTTTTGTTTTTCTTCAACATTTTTTAAAAAGGTGTCACATCAGCTTTTTCAGTACTACTGATTTAATTGCAAAAGCACACATAAACAGTTTGAAGGGTGTGAGGAGAAATTCACAAGTCACATGGGAAAATAGCAACAAAGCTCGCGTTCAGTCTGGAATCCGTCCACCGTGCAAAACAAATCACACTGCCAGCGGGTCAGATGGTGCCCCCTGAAGTTGAGTGAAAAATGTGTTTGATACGAGCAACATTTGTTTCATGCCAAAGATACTGTGGGAAATACCAAGATGAATCAAATGTGAGCTTCACTTTCACAGAGCTTAAGCTTAGTAGGGAAAGCAAGACGTGTATATAAAACAGCTAAAATGCGCAGCAAACCTGCCAGAGAAGGCAACCAGAGGAGAAACTTTGCAGCTCGGGAGACTAGGAACGGAGGTGGGTTTGCCCTGGGCCTGGGGAGATGAGTCAGAATTGGATAGAGAGGCTGGACTGGTGGAAAACAAGGATGAGAGGGACAGAGCCCTGGCTCTCAAGAAGCTCCGTGTCTTAACAGGAGTGACGCACATAAATAGAGAAATTATTGTGGAAAATGCTGTGTGTTATAATAGGCGCTGTGGAGTCCCTGGGTGGCGTGAATGGTTAACACAGTTGGCTACTAACCGAAAGGCTGGCAGTTTGAGCCCACCCGGAGGTACCTCAGAAGAAAGGCCTGGCGAGCTGCTTCCAAAAGGTCACTGCTGTAAAAACCCTGTGGAGCACAGGTCTACTCTGACACCCGTGGTGTCGCTGTGGGTCAGACTCAGCTCTGTGGCAACTGGTTTGTTTTTTTTTTTAAGTTTTATGGAATTACAGAGGAAAATCATAATAAAATCTTTGGGGGAGATGGGGAGGAGTTGACCTTTAAGCTGGGTCTTGAAGGACACAGGAAGGGTGCCGGGGAGGTCAAGGAATGCATTTAACCTACTGCCACAGAGCCTATTCCGACGCATGGCAACCCTGTAGGACAGAGTGGAACTGCCCCATAGGGTTTCCAAGGCTGTCACCTTTCCAGAAGCAGACCGCCACATCTTGCTCCCACAGAGCGGCTGGTGAATCCAGAGTGCCCACCTTTCCCTTAGCAGCTGAGCACGTAACCACTGTGCCCCCAGGGCTCCTTGGGGAACCCGTTCTGTGCAGAGGAAACGTTCAGGTGCGTGTCTGAACTCTCAGCAGCAGATGGTGACACAACGGTGACCTCCTGTGTTGTCATTGCAGGTGACTCAGACGCCCCTCCTGGGACAGTACAGAGCGGCAGAGGTGTGCCGAGCAAGAGCCAGTTTAGGAGCATTGCACCCAAGATTCTGCCCAAAGTCCTGACCTCCAGGGTGCTGCCATGTCATTCCCCGTCACTCTCTGACCACCCTCATCCGGGGCCCTCCGTCAGCTCCCAGCCACTGGTGATGCCCTCCCAGAACTATGCCCTGATGCAGGTCGCTGGCCAGGAGGGGACGTTTTCCCTTGTCGCTTTGCCCCCTGTCACCTCAGCGCAGCCGGGCCAGAAACCCAGAATGCCCCTGCCTGAAAACCTTAAACTGCCTATTCCTCGGTACCAGCCCCCGAGAAAGGACAAGGCATTGAGACAGAAGTCCAGCCCGAGCTCCCTGGAGAGAAGCTACAGCAAACCTCCCACCCAAAGCCAGCCGTGCCCTCGGATGCCCTGTCCCCCAGCCAGCCAGCCGGAACTCCCCCACAACGCCCCAGCCCCTGAGCCGGCGCTGTCACGAGAGGAAGCCCCGGCTGCGGTGCCTGGTGGAGGTGGCCCCCGTGCCTCGGGCCCTCCGCTGATGCCCAGCCGTGGAGCTGTGAACACTGCAGGCACCCTGCGCCCGTCTGCCCCCCGGGAGCCCACAGTGGAGCAGGCCTGCACGAGGATTTCAGGGATGGCAAACTGGACGAGCAAGAAGACCCGCGGTAAACCTCCCGCGGCCCATTTGGCGAAAGCCATGACCAGTTTGTCCCCGGCAGCTGTGGGCGGTGCAGTTCCGGTGAGCTCCTCGGTCGCCAGCGGTGAGCTGCCCATCTCACCCTACTCAAGAGTGAACACAACAGAGGTTTGCAAAATTGAGCACACTGCAGATTTGTCTTTACCTGGGCACAGGGCCGACTCCTCCATCCCAGAAGGCTTTAAAGTAGCCACCAAAATGGCTGACAAGACCCCTGTGCCACAGGTGTCGAGGCAAAGCCCCAGTGAAAGCGCCTTCTGTCCAGCCCCCAAGCTAGACCCCAGCCACAAAGCAAAACTGAGCGGCGGGGCAGCCAGGAGGAGAGCGAGGAAACGCAAGCTGCCCGATGAGATCTTGACGTTTCAGGGGAAACGGAGGAGATGCGTCATTAATAAGTGTAGAAACGGTAAAGAAAGAGTAAAAACCGATCTCCAAGAATCCACAGAGCAAAGACCTGTGAAAAAGTACCGCAGCATCATGCCCAAGCCCATCCTTGTCATGCCAGCACTGGCCGCCCCGGCTTCTCCTGCAGCCACGCTCCAGTCCCCAACTCCCGGCGGCCAGGGGCAGGACGCGGCGGGAAGTCACCCGCACAATTCTGAAGCCCTCGGCGGTGAGCGGAGTGACAGTCCTTCCACTAAGCGCAGCTCTGCCTTCAAGAACGGATGTGCTGGCCTGAGGAAGCCTCGGCACAGGTGTCAGGTCTGCAGCCACCACTTCCAGTTCAAGCAGCACCTCCAAGAGCACATGGACACACACACTAACAGACAGCCTTACAGCTGTCGTGTCTGCCACAAGACCTACGTCCGTCCTGGCAGCCTGAGCACACACATGAAGCTTCACCATGGCGAGAGCCGTCCCCGGAGACTCGTCTGCTGTGAGTTTTGCGCCAAAGTGTTCGGTCACGTCAGGGTCTATTTTGGCCATCTGAAAGAAGTGCACAGGGTCGCGATCAGCACCGAGCCCTCTCCCAGCGAACCGCAGCCAGGCGACATGCCAAAGACCAGAGACCCTAGGGTGCGAGGGACCGAGGGCCCAGCGCAGAGGTGAGTGCTAACGGAAACAGAGGGCCAGCCAGGAGGTCTGTTCTGAGCGGGAGGAGACGCTGAGATTTCCTATTCTCTGTAGCCATCCGGTTTGTCAAAACAGCCCTCAGGTTCAAGTATTCCCCTGAGTGCTGTGCAGAGCAACCTTAATTTTCTATAGTTTCTGATCAGACATGGATTTTAATTATTTTAACCTCTGTTAAGCCAGGACATAAATGCCTGTTTGAGGTACACGGGGGACAGTAAGGAGGTAGAAGATTAATTTGTATCTGAAATAGGAAATTGGAAGTTATTGTATATGGCTCCTTAGAGTGTTTACAAGTGGTGTCCCCCAAAATCACGTGCACAGAATTTATACCTAAAGAACAACATTCACCCGAGCACACAGGCTGACCCACGGCTGGGACTCGGGGTGGGTCTGCTGTGTGGATCGGACCCGAGGTGACCAGACCTCACCCTGACACTTACCCGGTGCTTGCCATCGGGCCAGATGAGCTTTGTCCTGTGTCATGGCCTTTTCGCAGGTCCTAAGATTATGAACTAGCAGGCTAAGTGATTGGAGAGCCAGAAGTGAGCCAGGGACACACCGTCAGTGTAGGCTGAGAGACGTGGTCCTGGGTGTCCCCGGTCCCCCAGGGGACCAGGAGGGAGTTTCATTGAAACTGTCCTCATCAGTACCGTGAGACTCACCCATCTTCCAGCAGCTCAGATCCTCTGTCCCTCATCCTTCTTAATCATCCAGTTGTTCTAAATACGAATTGTGCTTTCAGTTCAATTTTGGCTTACTCTGTCACATTCATTGTCCTATTTTCCCCTTGTTTTTCTACAGTTCTTCTGGTTTCCTTGAAGCATTTCTGTCCCCTTCCAGATAGTGGTATTTGCCTAAATAGCAGCCTCCCTCAAGAAACCTCACCTCTTAATTATCTTCTGTTAGTTAGATGTTGATTTTTAGGTATGGCGTCCAGTCTGCATTTGTGCCCAAGGTTAGCGAGGGCCACATCTGGGTGGTGGGGACAGCTGCCTTCAATGGAGCCAAGCATGTGCCTGCCGTGCTTGACTTGGTGTTACCTGAATCCTCCATGTCCATGACCCCAAAGAATTGACTTGGTGTTACCTGAATCCTCCATGTCCATGACCCCAAAGAATAACACGCTCAGCTGGGGAGATGCAGAAAGGGAAATGACACCCAGAGCTTGAGAAATGTGTGGCCCAGGCAGGGGTGACAGGCGGCCTTCACTGTGGCCTCTGCTGCGTGTCTTCCTGTGCTCTGTTTACTCCAGCCTTTGTACTTCTTGGAGTGCCTGGCTGGTGCAAATGGTTAACACGCTCAGCTGTGAACCAGCATGTCGGCGTTCCAAGTCCACCCAGAGAGGTGCCTCCGAAGGAAGGCCTGGCGATCTACATCCGAAAAATCAGCCATGGCAAACCTTATGGAGCACAGTTCTACTCTGACGTGGATGAAGTCACCATAAATTGGACTTGACTCGATGGCACCTGGTTTGGGCCTTTCGTACTTCTCATCGGTGGGGGTGTTTTAGATCCATGAAGGGTAAGAGCTGAAAGGAAAAGTTCAAACTGTGTTTCTCCATAAAATCTTATATAGACTATTTTCCCCCTTTTCAGGGAAAACAAATCAAGCCTGGAAGAAGACCCCTTTCTAAACCAAGTGGACGAAGTCAAATTACAAATCAGATGTGGCCGTTGTCAGATCACTACCCAGTCGTTTGCAGAAATAAAGTTTCATTTGCTGTATGTTCACGGAGAGGAAATTCAGGGCCGATTACAGGAAGAGATTTTACCAGGCAGCAAAGGAGCTCAGGAAGAACTGGTTAAACATGTTACTCCTTACCAGAAACAGTATCCCGAGAGAAGAAAGCTAGTTAAGCATTGTTCCTCTGAGGAGGACTTAACCGCGTTTCCTAAGTTGAAAAGGCAACTCCGCCTTCATCAACAGACTAACATGCAGATACAAATGAAAAATGGAGAAGCCCAGCCGGGAGCGAGTGCGCCGGGAGAAGGCCCCCAGGGCCCTACCCATCCCACTCCTGACACCATCGTCTTTTGCTCCCATTTGGGCTTCAACTGCCTCCTCTGCGCACAGACCCTGGGAAGGAGAGAGGAACTCCTGCTGCACTGGGGGCAGCAGCATAATTGTGAAGACCCTTCCAAGCTCTGGACAATTCTAAATGCATTCTCCCTCCGGGGGGCAACTGAGTCTTCCAGTGAAATTGAAAAATGAAACAGTGTAGACAGAGGGGGGTTAAGGAAGGCCTTACACGCACCTTTCTCCGAAAGCTTGTGTTTTGTTCGTGGTACTTAATTATCAAACCAAGCAAGTTCGGCTCAGCATTAATGAACAGAAGTGACTTTGTACATAGTTTTATTTTCTTATAAAATCCATGCCCTTGGTGGATCTTTTTCAGCCATATGCAGACTTTACTTTAAAATTCTGTGTACCAACCCTCAGTGTCTTAGCCTTCCTTTCAGAATAAATGAAAAGTACCAGATTTGGAGACTGAAACTTGGAGGTTTATAGGCTGTTCTTCAAATACAGTTTTCAGTGAAAACACGGGTACGCGTCCTTCTGTTCATACGCTTTCCGCTTACTAGGCTGACCAACGTTCCCACGTGGCAAAACTATCTTAGTCTCAAACAGTATCAAGTTGGATGGTAAATGTTGATATTTATTAAATTCTCTGGTGTATTTGAATATGCTCTACAGCAGTATATTTAATAAGGTTGTCATCTATCATAATTGAAAATCCGTGTTTTCAGGTCTTAGTTTTTTGTTTTGTTTTTTTTAATTCTGCTATTTTCTTAAACGCACATTGCCTTGAAGATTAGTTGTTGGCAAGTCTTATAGCTGGAGTGTTCCACATCAAAGCAATCAAAATTTTTATAGTACTTCAGCTAAAAAAAAAAAAAAAGAAAGAAAATCTGCTTTCTTGGTAAAAAGTCATTTTCAAGTAGTCTTTGGGGCCAGAAAATTTACAGGCTGGGAGTGAACGAGATAGTTCAGTCCAGATGTCTCTGTGTCTACGCGGCTTTTCCTCACTTGCAAGTAACTGCGGAGGGTTTGTCGTTAGCTGATGGATTTTAGATGCGATACGCCGTTGGAGCTGAGGTTCTCCTTGGAAGTCAAGAGCAGATAACTGCCTCTTAAATTCCTGGGAAATTACTTCGAATCAGACAAGTTGCCATCTGAAGTTTCTGACCATCCTGGCTGCAAAATCATTTTCTTACAAGGGGGGAGTCTGAACATTCGTCCTAATAAAATCTTGGCCTTTGAATGAAAGCGTTGTGTATGTAGTCAGCCCTGTTCACCTGGAGCTTGGCCCACACATCATCGTCACATACTTCTGTACTTAAGGAAGTTTCCTGTAACAAAGGAAAAACTGAATTCCCATTGATACGGTAGTGGGTCTCAAGTCTTCTTTTTTACCTTCGAGTTTGAAAAGCAAGTGTCTGTAGGCACGATTTGGCGCGAGTAATAGAAACAGGGAGAACTCAGTCCTTGGCTTTTTGCAAATAGTTTTGTAAATGCGAGAATGAGAAAGTAGGGTGGAGAATGTGATGGGTTTTGCTTGGTTGATGGATTGCGCTCCGCCGTTTCACAGAGGTGGTGTCCGCCCCCCACTGCTGGGTGTTTTCAGAGCTCCTGGATTAGCAATGAAACTGTTACCATTCAGTACAACACCTAGTTTGCTTTTGGAAGCTTGGTCTGAAAGACATTTAAAAATGAGATCTACCAAGAATATTACTTGAATTCAAACCATGAAACTCGAATTCAAACCATGAAACTGGAATTCACACTATGAAATAATCCATAGCCTGCTCAGTCCCCAGGTGTTAAAAGTGGGAGCATGTCTGGAGACCAGAGGTGTGGGGGGAGTGCATCCACTCAGCACACAGAGGGAAGTCTGCAGCCCCCAAGGCTGTGGGGTCGCCTTCCTGCAGCCGAGGCACATATTCTTGCATTGAGAGCACAGACGATCTCTGGGAAGAAGTAGGGAGTGAGGAAGGGGAAAAGAACAGAAGTACAGAGATGCCACTGGCTCATGGTTAAGTGCTCTGGGCGGCCCCGTTCTGGAAGGTATTTCAGAGCAGTGGCCCCCGTGTCCTCAGTACATTTAGACCACTCATCTCTTAGGGTCACTGATGCACGGGCGGGGTGACGGGGAGCCTCATCTTTACAGAAGACTCTCAAAGAGAAGACGACTTGCAGTGCAAAGGGACCTTCGTTGGATGCCCGTTTGTGCGGGTTCATCCAGAACAGAATGTTACAATTCTCACCTTCTAGAAACACTCCCCCGGGTTCTAATGGGAGCAACCCCCAATGCCACCCAAGACAAGGAGGTTCTGGCCCTTACTAGCAGCACTATTTGGGGGAGAATGGTGGGAAGAGAGATTCCTGTCAGGTAGGTAGGGAGAAAGGAAGAAGGAATTCAACTAAAGTAACTTCAGTAACGGAGTCCCTGGGTGGCGCGAACAGTTAAGTGCTCTGCTAACTGAAAGGTTTGTGGTTCAGGTCCACCCAGAGGCACCTTGGAAGAAAGGCCTGGCAGTCTACTTCTGAAGAATCAGCCATTGAATACCCTGTGGTGCACAGTTCTGCTGTGACATACCTGGGGTCGCCATGACTCAGGACTGACTTGGTAGCATCTGGTTTGGTTGTCTTTGGTTTTAACTTTAGCAACAGCTCAGAGCCTTCCTTGGGTGTGGTAGAGAGGTGTTGTTCACATGGTCTCAACCTTTACATGAGCCCAAAGGCAGGGAGTACAGAGGAGAGTGGCTGACGCTTACTCCCTGTGTGACCCCAGAGAGGTCTAAGCCTTTGTTCCCTCATCTTTAAAAACCGGTTGATGATCCCACCACAGAGCGTTGTTCTGAAGAGTCCATCAGACACAAGTACCACACCCCTAATAACTTCTTCAGTAGCACAGTTCTCACTTTCCATGACACCCAGGTTCAATTCCTGGTCAGTGCACCTCAGGCACAGCCAGCGCCCGTCTATCAATGGTGGCTTGTATGCTGAACAGGTTTCAGCAGAGCTTCCAGACTAAAAGAGACTAGGAAGAAAGGCCTGGCAATCTACTTCTGAAAATCAGCCAATGAATGCCCTGTAGGTGACAACGGTGATGGTACAGGACCGGGCAGCATTTCATTGTGTCATTCATGGGGCCACCACGAGTTGAGGTGACCCAGCGGCTGACAACAACGCTACCTTGTCTGGCACATTGGGGTCCGTGGTAACCAGTGGCTGTTACAGATGATTCTCCTGGCCAAGCCCGGACGAAGAGGTAGGTGATACCGTAGAAAGACATTTAAGAACAGCTCCAGGAGGCCTCAAGTCCAGAACTCAAAGATGAAAACTACTGAGAACACTGGGAATTGCCATCTGCATATAAAACGTGCATTTTAATTTTTAAGTAACTAATAAAAATGGGATTTGGACTTCACGGAGATTTGTTAAGTGTCTAATCAACATAGAAAGCTAAATTCACTGAATTATTTCCTTCCCAGGCCAGACTTTGGGGCTTGTATCCCTCAGGTCTCAGCCCAGCAGCACATCCTCCGGGCGGCGCCCCTCCTGTGTGCTTCCCATCCCGCCGGTCTAGCTGTCGTCATAGCACCCAACCCACTGTCTGCAGGTGACTGTGGACTTGTCTGGTTTCCACGCTAGATGATAAGCTTCTTGAGGGCAGGAGCTGAGCACCAGAGGGCCCAGCACCTGACGCGTCATTTAAAAAAAACCCAGTTGACGTAAAGTCACCTCCAACTCTTGATGACCCCATGTGTGTCAGAGGAGACCTGGGCTCCATAGGGTTTTCAATGGCCGATTTTTCGGAAGTAGCTCACCAGGCCTTTCTTCCGAGGAGCCTCTGGGTGGACTCAAACCTCCAGTCTTTCAGTTAGCAGCGAAGTGCATTAACTGCACCACCCAGTGGCATGTAATAGTACATCATAAATATTTGTTGAAAAATGAATGCATTAGCTAAATACAAACAAATCGCCACTTCCCATTTCCTGAATAAGTCCAGCTTTAGCAGCAACCAGACTTGTAGCTAGGAAGGCATCGAGGGGAGTTTGGTCTTAAGTTCAGCACGTTCATTTTGCCTCATATCTTTTGCTTCTTGGAAAATTGTTTCAAAGCCAGCAAAACTAGTTTGTTTTTTTTCTTTTAGCCCTAAATTATTTGTGAAAGTTACAGCGTTTTTGGTTTGTATTGTTTTATTAGCTGTCATTTGTATTCATGTCCTGTTTTGTTTCCCTCCCTTTCTCTGGACCTCTTCCTGATTTAGCTTTACTGTTCCTCTGTTAAGCTGTTCCTCATATGGAAAGTTGTTTCTTCACCAACACACCATAAATAATCCACCCTGGGTGCGTTCCACTGCCTTGTCTGGCCGCGGACTCTTCCTTTCCCAGCTGCGCGGCTGCAGTTCTCTGTGGCCCCAGTGACATGACTGTTGGCAGTAAATGCTCCATTTATTTATTAGACTGCTTAGATCGGGCTGCTTTTCTCCATTCAAGCTGCTGACGTGCTTGTTAGGCTCATATTTTACGTCAGCTGCCATTTTGACTGAGCTCCTGAGAGAAAGTGCCCCGGTAAGGATGAACTGGGATTTCACAGAACAGGTTTTTAGCTTCAACTTTAGACTGACTTCCCTGATGTTAGACGATCAGCAGTTTATCTAGGCTTGTGGTACAATCTAATATATATTTTAACGTTATCCGCCTCTTCAGGAATGTTTCTCTTGGAGACAAGCATTTATTACATGTCACAGTTGGCCACGGTCACGGTTATTCCCATAACAAAGCTGTCAGCACAGTTTTTTTTCAGGCATGTTTTAAACCTGTGTTTAGCATGCAGATGGTGGCTTAGGAGGACATCATATTTTCCAGAGCTCTGGAGTGTGAAAATATTTCAATGTGTTGCCTAAAGCCTAGAAAGAAGAAAGAAAAGCTATCCATCGAAGGAGACCAAACGTGACAACTAAAACTGAAGTAAAGATTGCTTGTTCTAATTTTGATGTGAGGCTAAACAGGGTTGTTACTTTAAATGATATTTGCTCCCATGTTCAGAAGCGTTTCCCTCCCCTCGGTGAGCTCAGCAGTAAAGAATTCATCTGTAATAGGACTGCAATACTCACCTCTTCTAGCATGTTCCAAAAACAAAACTGCAAGTTATTAGCATGATAATAGATCATATTTTTGATAAATCAAATAACCACTGAGCACTGCTCAAAAAACAGATTTTACCTTCTGTCATTTGAGTCAAAATTAAATGTGAATTTAGTCTCCACCTTTGAGATGCCAGGAGACCACCAGGTAGTCTATACGTATTTGTAGAGGTGGAGCAATGGGATTTGGGTCCAATTACTGGTCCAATTGTAATACGTATCTTACCATAAAAGTTTGACCATGGAAGAGAGCCAGGTGGCTCAAACAAATGACCTGCATAGGTATCCCAGGTTCCGAATATCTGAAAGTAAGGGTATGTTCTTAGGGCGCTCAAACGCTACCTTTTCCCAGTTGAATCCAAGTGAAAGCACAGTTACATTCTTCAGAAGACGTTCATTGAACCAAGCCTTTTTGTCAGTGGTTACATTCTAGGAACGTTATTCTCAAATATCCAAGAAGATTAAGTCCTTCAAACGATGATTGTTTCTTGAAGTAAGGGGTGGGGAGGGGAAGCAGGAGAGCAGGAGTACTGTGTCAAGATGTGGCACGAAGCTTGTTTTGATTAAAACAACCAGTGAAACACTGTAAGGAGTGGAGATCCTGGCTCCGGTATCCTAGGCAACAAAGTGTCATCAGCATTAGGGACAACCTCAGTGGAGAGAAACTTGACAGCGTCCATCAAAATCTAAACTACGCAGACCTTTGGATCGAGGAACTGCACTTGTAGGAAGTTGTCCTGTAGAGGATGTTCACT